TATTACTGCTTCTGTTTGAGCCACAGAAAAATGTTGTTTGAGCCACAGTTCACTAACAGTCATGGCAGTAAAAGCACCAGCGAGAAAAGTCAAATTTACACCAGATGTAAAATTGAGACATAAATGTTTGGCTCAGCTCTAGAATAACGAACAACAAAAAATCTACTGAATGTGAAAAAGTATCAGAGCAAAGGTCCCAGACAGAGCTAATACAGAAATGACACCAGTGCAAAGTTCATTCCCAGAATTCTCTTATCTGGATTCACTTACCTAATCAGGCTAAGTGGTCACGGCGAGCTTTTAATCAACTTGCCGGTGTTTAATTTATGTTACCACAGTTGTGTCTGTACAGAGAGAGGTCGACTCACTCACCGCAAACATCATCCCATGTAAAATCTCAGCTGTGCATTGCTCGACATGGATGATGCTGTGAATCAGTCGAATGCTGATCTGTTGACAGATCAGAGCAGAAAAACGAGCAACAGCAGAATTCACCATTTATAGGAGAAATTAAAAAAAGAAAAGTAAAGTCTGAATATTTCTCATTAGTTTTAACTTTTGGTTTCACTTCAGCTCTTCTCCACAGTTGACGGTTCAACAACAACACAAGAAAAAGTAACCCACAGACTAGTTGTACTACATATTATTGACACCGCACCCGTGTGACAGCAGATGCTCTCTGCAGATAGACGGGTCGTCTGAAGCTGCCACAGACTGCCAACCGTTCTCTCGTTATTTCACCAAACCAATGAGTCCCATTAGTCAGGTGCAGTTTTATGGACCCGTTAAAAAAATGTAAATGTTATATTTTCTTCATTTACTGCTAAATGAACAACACAAAAATCAGTGTCAAAAATTTGCATTGTAAATGGAATATTTATTTAAGCATCTGGACAGAGAAAAACATGTAGCTCAATCACAACACATCACAATATAATATACAGAAGTTGATTTTTATTATATCTTTCACAATAAATCATACAAACCCATTTAAACTAAAACAAAACTAAATAAAAATCATCAAAAGAGCTGAGACTGTACATCTACCAGTCACCACTTCAACATTGCTTCCCCGGATAAATAAAGAGATCATGACTTTGTAAGCAGCTCTTAACTTTGTTCACAATGATTATCTGCTCATGGTGAGGTATTATACTCTCTTACGAACTCTACCCTCTTAGCATTAGCACAGTCACGCGTAAATATTTCTGAACTCTGTGTTATCGTGTATCTTGTAACATGAAGTCCCTTTTTAGACGGATATAGATGAGTTCTTTTGGATCTTAGCCTTTTTTACAGATTGTGGTCCATGACAAGGTTCAAGCTCCTCCAGCTCATCTGAATGTAATGCTGCTGCAGAAGGCTCGCTGACCCGTTGAAAGGAGTCCATTGGCTGCAATTGTGTGAATGGGGCTGAAAAGACAAATAAGCAACATATTGTTTGTATTTACTAAGTATGCCTTTAATAGTAAAGAACAAAGGAAGTAAACAAATTTACTGAATATACTTTTGAAGTCTGAAATATGCTACATAATTAAAAAAAATGGGACCGGTCCTCCAAAAGTCCTCACGCCTACTGGATTTTGGTGTAGGTCCATGACAAAGGCCTTTAGTGAACAGCAATAGGGTTTCTTGTTTGAGCTTTCTATCAGTCTTGATCAAATAAAAGTGTATTACCCTCTGACAGGTCACAGCAGATGGCTGCCCCTCCCTGAGCCTGGTTCTGCCGGAGGTTTCTTCCTGTTAAAAGGGAGTTTTTCCTTCCCACTGTCGCCAAAGTGCTTGCTCATAGGGGGTCATATGATTGTTGGGTTTTTCTCTGTATCTATGAAGCGCCTTGAGGCGACTTTTGTTGTGATTTGGCGCTATATAAATAAAATTGAATTGAATTGAATTGAATTGTCTTTTTAAAAGCATCGTTACGTTGACATAACGGTAAGAAAAATCACTCCTGTGTTACAGTTTAGTCTCACTGGAGTAAAATTCATTCATTCTCAAACAATCTGATTTGGACTGCCTGCAGTCAATTTAGTGTGAAGATTTGTGATTTTCACAGATTTATCACAGTTAATCACCACATTATCAGATTACATGTTATTGGCAATTTGACCCCCTTTTACCGACAGCTAGCAGACAGACTTCACTTCTTATTGCCCTTTTATTGTTGCCTTCACAAACCAAAGTTGCTTTTAAGATGTGGTCCCCGTCATGGAAGCAATCAGATCAAAAGCAATAAAATCACCAGTTCTTTACATGATTGTAATAATTTTGGTTTCCCTTGGTGTGACTGTATCAATAATGGAAATCAGATGCCATCAAATATGTGTTAAAATCACAGCAAAAACAGATTATTAGCTTCATTTGATAACTAGCCTCAAAACCTGGGTGACATCAGCCATGCTTGCTAACAAATTCTCTCAATGAGACTCTAAAACGTTTGAGCTGACGTAGTTATTGTGTTTTAAAATGTAATGAAAAAACTTACCACTTTCCTGGTAGGAGGGTGGTGGAGTTGTGAGCATGGGTGTGGCTGCTGGTACAGGCTGATAGACCGTGGTTAACACTAGAGAAAGCGAAAGATTTCATGTAGTTTGAAAATGAAAGCAAATTTTGATGTTCCCATCATTACAACTGAACTTTTAAATCAAAGGTTTAAAGACAATGGGGATAAAAAATCTGTTTGTGTCTTACTATGTACCCTGCACAAACTGTAAAACTGACAGTTTTGCAGTTTCGTGAGCGTTTGTGCATCAGATTATTTCTTGCTTTCAAGAATTCCTGTAAGCCACCATCCCAATTGGAAAGAGCTCTAACACATAAAGCTCATCAAACAGCCATTTTCCATTGTAAGAATTAAACATAATTTCAAACAAGATGCTTCTGGATAATATGCCAGTGTGGCTGCTTGCAGCTGTAGCAAACTTACTGATTATTTCTCGTCTGGGATTTTTCTTTTTGGATGTCCTGCAGCGGCAGCAGCAGCAACGAGTCACACAGCAGATTATGAGACCCATGCATACGAGAATGGGAATAGGAACCCCTATTCCCACATACTCTACATGATAGCTTCTTTTCACTCGAGCAGACCTGCAAATACAAAAAAAAAAAAGCTGTAGTTTGTGCTCATTTCTGGAGCATTGAAGGGGAAAAAAGGCTAAAATGAAGAGCACACCTTCTGAAACAGAGTTCCTGTTTTTCCTCAGTAAAGTTGTACTTTATGTCACTGCAGCAGTATTTTGTCCTGCAGTCCCCACAGCAGTACTTTTCACATTCCTGAGTATCATGGAAGACACCGTTCGTGTCCCAGTAACTGTGGCAGTGATCAGCTGTAAGACACACATGTTGAAGCAAAGTGAGAATGAGAGCTTAAAGCTGCAGCGCATTACAGATCCTGCAGACAGATATTGTACAAAGACACTAATAGAGAATTAAGATGACTTAGCTTGATATTTTACTTTCACTTTGTTATTTTAAATATTAAAAATAAAACTCACCCCATGCAGCCGGGACCACAACCACACACAAAACACACACAAGACTGGACAAGATGCTTGAAGGCATAGCTGATGTGATGCAGTGTGTTAAGATTCGTTCGTTTTGGGTAAGAGAAGAAAGCAGGCTGAGTCCAGGGAGGCGTCAAAATAGTGATCCTTAATTACACACTCTGCGCAGAAGTGTGGGAAGAAAACTTGCAACAGATTCTCCAAAGAGTGGACAGCTCCCCATCCTTATATAACCCATGATGACATCACACAGTTAGACCTTACTAGAAAGGATAACAGTCTCCCCATAGTCCAAAGTTCTCCTTATACAAACATCAGATGATACTTTAGAGAAAAGGTCCTGCTGGACCCTCCAGTTTGGACGGTGAATACAATGCTGTGGATACCATTTGAGACTTGATTACAATGATGATAATATGCATCCATTGATCTTTACTCAGATTACCATAGATATAAAACAAAGATTATACTGTCATCAGATTCAACAATGATGAATGACTGATCAATGATAGTTAAAATGTCACCATAAGAATACAAAGTAAGATATCTCTTGTCCACACTCCTCCTCTTTGGCCATCGGCCAACCTTTACCCAAATTTGTTTCACTCCTCCGTCCAGGCGGCCTCTCGCAACGGCATCATATACCCCGGACCAGCTGAACCAGCTGGACCAGAGTCTATGGCCCTGCTTACCAAGATTTACCAACACCTGCCTTACCAGAGGAATGAGACAACACCCGATCATCAATAT